GACGACAGGTACCAGCCAGGCGTCGACAGGGTCCAGCGAGTGCCGAGAAATAAAGAGGCGAGGCACCGCTCCATACTCAGTCCAAGAAGCCGTGGAAGTGCTCGCCAAACAGGCTTTCATCCTTACCAGCCGACCGCTGCGTTTACCCCGGCGGCGGCGCTTACGCCGGAGAGGTGGAGCTGGGGCGCAGCAGAGGTGAGCTGGGATCCCTGATAGGAGCAGGGGCAAAGTTTTCCCGTCTTGTTGTTTCATTCATCCCCTAAACAAACATGCGCGAGCCAGGTAAGCGTCTTTACGCCACTACGCGCTAGAGCTCATGGGAAATGTAGGCTTCATTCCGGCAAAACACTACCGCTTTTGTCCACAGGGTCGCCAAAATCAACTCAAAATGAAAGTTCCTTGTAGGGGCTATAACTATTACAATGTTAGCTGATAAGACAGAGAGGACAAGAAATACGTTGCACTTACATGTTGTAAGTTTCCTAATGAAACAATGGACAGTAACTAATAACGGATAACTGTAAATGTTAACGTCACTTATGAGCTGCATTGCATGAGAGTGCGCATACCTTTTTTTCCATCTTGTCAAAGTACGTGTAGGAACGTTTCTTCGCAACCAATCTCTTTCTGTTGCGTCAGGTGTAACGTTAACGTGTTTTCTTTTTGGCATTGCTGTCTTGTAAAGTTACTGCTCAATAATCCATCCATGCTGTGATGCCACTGCTACAAAGAGCTCGTAAAAGATTTGACTGAGCCCAGACGGAGCCGAGGAAGTTAAAAGTTTGATTTTAGCCCTGACAGCGATGATTGGTTAAGATTAGGTAAAATATCAGGATACACCAATGAAAGGCTAAGTAGGACGGGTCACGTAACTGGCAGATATCAACACTAATCAACACCGCTTGCACTGTCAAGCTATCTTGTTTAATTATGAATGGAAAAGAGAAGAGAAGAGAAGAGCAGCAAGTCGGATGGTTATGGATACCACGCAGACAAATGAACCTAGCAGTAAGTAATTTTTCCTACCGGTTATGTATTTCAAGGTTTTAGCTTAAATTTGACATATATTTGATTTTCTGTTTTTGCAATATTTGCTAAAAGTGATGGTTACCTGAATGCTAAAGGGTAATGTTACACATCAAAACGAGTTAGAAATGTGGAAATTCTCAGTTTAGTCGGCAGAATTGTGCATATGAAATTACACTGGCTGGCATTAAACAACGTCATGTTATGCCTAAACCTGCAGATACCCGGTACACTGCATATCAGTTACTGCAGAAGCAATGTGGACAAGTGTTGCAAATAAGTGTCAGGCTAACGTTACAAACACTTAACACAATGTTTCGTGTTTTAGTGTAACTTAACTTTATGTTATGACGCAATTTTAATGTTAACGTACTGTGATGTCCATATCAAATAAACTTTACCGTCACCATATAAATATATAAAAATAAAATAGAATAGGAAAAAACAATTTACAGTAAGGGGCGGCACGGTGGTGTGGTGGTTAGCACTCTCGCCTCACAGCAAGAGGGTTGCCGGCTCGATCCCGGGCATGGGAGCCCTTCTGTGCGGAGTTTGCATGTTCTCCCCATGTCAGCGTGGGTTCTTCTCCGCGCACTCCGGCTTCCTCCCACAGTCCAAAGACATGCAGACTGGGGGACTAGGTTAACTGATAACTCTAAATTGTCCGTAGGTGTGAATGTGAGCGTGAATGGTTGTTTGTCTCTATGTGTCAGCCCTGCGATAGTCTGGCGACCTGTCCAGGGTGTACCCTGCCTCTCGCCCGATGTCAGCTGGGATAGGCTCCAGCCCCCCCGCGACCCTCAAGAGGATGAAGCGGTTAGAAGATGAATGAATGAATTTACAGTAAGAAGTGAAGAAGTGTGTAGTATACAAAATGTGCAGAATACAGAGCTGTACAATAGACCTTTTTCACAGCAGCCATTTGACATAAAATCATAGGATAAACACAGGTGTTACCAATGATACTAATTAACGTTCTGTTCCATTGAGGCCAAACGGAGTCCGCGTGCTGCTATTATGCATGTTGGCTCATTACATTGGAAAGGCTCTGCTACAATTGAACAGAACCTTAATCAAATGTATTAATTAAACCTGTGTTTACCTGCTTATTTCATGTCAATATGGTTGCTGTGAAAAGGGTATATTGTGTGGGGTTGTGAATATATAGCCTTATATATCTATTGGTCATATATTGCTTAGCTAAGCAATAATTAGATTTTTTTGATCACTGCAGAAGACATGGAGAGGAAGTTTGCAGTGGTGCAGTGGAGTGAAGGGGAGGATTCCGGGAAGCTCAGCGAAGTAAAAACGGATAACATACGGGGGTATGATGATTCCAAGATGGACCAACATGGGAATCCCATTTCCACCTACTCAGCCATTATCGAATGGCGCCATGGGAAGAAACAGCGAGGAGGGTGGCCTCACTACAGGGGCACTGTAATTTTTGTCAGTGGTAAGTTGATGTTGATATGGTTCGAAGTGAAGATTGTCCTCATTTAAAGCGGACCAAACAGCTCTGGTGTGAAAGCGACCTTAGTTTGCAGTGTTATTGGTGAGATATACTCATGGAAATAAAATTACACATGTAAATGGAACTCATACTATTTTACAACATTTTTGCCACCATTTTGTCATGTATACTGCTCTACAAAATGCTAGAAAGTTGTAAGCTGGCAGTTAAACTGTGTTTCATTAACAGTCATTCACTTACACAACTTTACTTGTCTCTAAGTGAATGCATGAGCAACACTATAACACAGTAGCTCTCATAATGTTAACCATAGTAGTACTCTGCAGCAGTGGTTTCTATTATTTTTAACATCAAGTACTCCTAAAGTGACATAAATTAGAACACAAAACCCTGTCTGATGAGATTTTTGCTTTTAGATGTTTTTGTACATAAAGTCTATTAAACCATAACCAAAATAATTGTATATTCTGTTGTTCATATGGATGGAAATATAGTAAAATATTAATTATCAGCATTTTTGCTAACCCCACTATGAACCACAGCTCTACACAACACATACTTTGTTGTGATGCTGTCAGTGTCATCACATATTAATATGTTATTAGTAAGTAGTAGTTAGGGAATGGAAAATGCAATTTGACATCACACTGCAGCAGTTAATCACATACACAAATACCCTGTTTGTTTAGCTGTCTTTGTCTCTTTCTCTGAATTCCATTTTTTTCTTTTCTTTGTTACCTCTCTCTGTCATGCACACAGGAAGTATAACCAGTCCAGTGTGCAGTTGTGTTTTTCAGTCATTGATAGAAATACTAGTCATTGCTGCAATGGCCTGAAAACTTAACATAGATGGCGATACAAAAAGTGCTCTTGAGTAATAAGCAGTATGTTATTAAATCTGTTTGTTTTTATCCTTCCTTTGTTCTCTAGCTTCTCGTTTTGAGGCAACCCATAAACTTGATGCACTGCTGAAGGAAAATGAACCTGCAGACCTGACCAAGAAGGCATCAGTCCACCCTCAAAGATATCAGGATGATTCAGATGACTCAGATCCAGATGATACTCAGATTCTGACTCAGTCATTGCCAGTCAAGTTAACATCAATTTACTTTTAACTATTTCGTGGTGACCATATTTTTCAGTGGTAGGGGTGTAACGATACACAAAATTCATGGTTTGGTATGTACCTCGAATACATGTACCGTAACACCCCTATTCAGTGGTATCATGTAAACAGAATGTTTAAGTGGTGGGCACTACTGTATTATAGCCGCCACTATCTAGCATTAAAAAAAACATATATGAGGATTCTTGATTCTTGATACTGAATCTGTTGTCTGTACACTTCAACTGCTCAACTCCACCATCATCTGTGTCTTTGTTTTCTGTCAGTTGTTCTATGTCCATGTCTATTCTTTTTTTCTCTGTATACCCAGAAGTCAAAGGCTCTCACAAGGAAAGACCCTGCAGAGCAATTCCTTGAGATGTACAGTGATTCACCGCATTCTTCAAGTGATAAAAGTCTGAGAAAGACAGTGGTTGAACTAATGCGGGAGATCCAAGACCTGAGAGAAGAGAACATGAAATTGAAGGAGTTGGTTGTCCAAGGTATCACTTCTTCCCACTCATTTAACAATTAGACAACCAGTACACTTAAAAAATATCACTTTAGCCTGTATTTGCAATAATTTACTTTATACTAAAGAATGATGTTAACCATTTTTGTTCTGGTCTACTGTGTATAGATGTGCCAGACCTCCTACAGACCATGAAGAATATTATTGATTTGGCTGAACCTCTTGAGAGATCCAGTTCAGAGCTTACCACACCACCACTGCCCCCCCAAAGTTCTCCGCAGTCCAGGCCCGGTTCATCATTTGCTGATTCACCGCTGTCTCTCCCCAAATCTGCACCGTCGCGCTCCACATCAGAGTCTGCTTTTCCAGCAAAAAGGGACTCCCCGTCGTCGAAGGTAATTGATTTTTAAAGAATAAATACAGTGCATATATTGGATCTACTGTCTGTCAGAACAACTTTTTTTTTTAGAATTTTTTATTTCTACTGTACAATTCATACATTTGTCAATTCATAAATAATCAGAACAACTTCTAATATGTACGGTTATGGCAGATCTTATTTGTTTTAATGTCTCAAGTCTCTTGGGGTGAGCAAATCATACATATGTGAATCCTAAAATGCTCACCATGTCTCCTTGTTTAAACAGGTGGAGATCCATCCTGGGACTGGAGTCATGGTAGAAAAACTGCCGTGGGCCTATGCCGTTAATGCAAATTCGGCCACAGTATTTGTGAGGCATCTGCTCACGGCAGTCTTCCCAGTGGAGATACTGCTGGTGAGCAATCTTCGAGGAGGGAAACGAGGCAGAGGAGATACTCGTCTACCTCTGGACAAAAATAAATTGGATGCCATCTACAGTAAGTTATCAGCCTTTTATGATATGTGTTTTGCCAATAGTCCATGCTTTTTTGTATTCACTGATTTCAATCAAGGAACCTAAAAAAGATAGTCATACATCACACCAGCATTCTGGATGCATGGAGAACATATCTACCCAACATTTCTACATCTATGACTGTTAATGAAGAAATGCATCAGCCAAATGGAAGAACCTCATTCATAGAATACTGTCTAATCTTCCTCTGGAGTTTTTTTGTCCAATAGCAAATAAACAAATGAACACATTTAAAAAATAAGTTTTTTTTTAGTCTGAAGTATATTCTTGCATTTGATAGAGGCATTTCTTCATCAAATGTCATACAGTGTGATGTATTTCGTTTTAGTGAACTTCTCCATGCATCTCCCATACACTGCAATAGAGCTGGCACCATTAGACATTAATATAATGTAATGATCCTTCTTTTATTGGTTTTTATTGGTTTTGTTCAGATTACTAACTGTTAAGTTCTACTAAGTTCTTTTATTTTTTCCCCTAATTTTTGTTTATATATACTGTAGGTGCAACTCTTGAGAGGTGGCCAGGGACCCAACCCTCCAGCATTGGAATCACAATAAATGCCAAGATTACAGAGTTCCGTGCCAATAGTAAAGCATCCCCTTAAATTGAGCTTTGTTGCTGTTTGTTGTGTAATTTCAGTTGTTGAAAACAAACACACTGTTCAATGTGAAATTATTTTTGTTCAGCAGTGGTACATATTAGTTAATGTAAGTGACTATGCCTAATTTGTTTTGCAAATAAAGTTTGTTGAATTAAAAATTTGCCTAACAGCCATTTTTTTCAATATTACAGGTACTGAAAGACAACATTTATAGACTGCATTTATGTAATTTGAATAGTAGAAAGTAGTTGTTCTGGGAGCTGACCAAGCAGTTAGTGCATTGCTAGTTTGTTACACAGTTTGATCCAATTGCAGTAGTAAAGGGACAAATTAAGTCTTGTCACTTTCATGTGTGAGTCATGTGTTTCTTATGACAGAAACTTATATGACACTGACTGTATAGATTCATATATATATAAAGTATGTATTTTTTATAATCTTATTTCAAATTTCATAGGCTGACATTTAAGAATTCTTATAGAAAAAACAAAGAAAACATAGTTTATCATGACATTATATGCCTTAACATACAAAAAAACTATATGTAATGGTACATATTCATATATGTTTTTATACTGGTTTTTATTAAATGACATATAATGAGCTTATAGAAAGCATATAAATAAAGCATAATTCCCCTGCAAAATATATTGACTTTACATACAGAAAACATATATATAATGGTATTTGTTCATATATGTAAAGCATATGTCTTTAAAACAGACATATAGGAAAAACTGCAAAAATTATATGTAACATGTATGGAAAACATACTTTGACATGTACTTTCCTTATATACCGCATACATAGATTTCACATGATTCTTATGTAATTCTTTTTATTTTCTTGTATGAAAAAAATGCAAAAGTGGCCACTTTCAAGAGTAAATCATATAAGCCTTATATGATGCACAATACATAAAACATACACTGAAGGTGATGGAACTTCTTATAAGTTTTTTCTATTTCTTTTCCATATGGGTACATTCTCCTTCTCTCTCCACTATTACAGCCCAGTGAGAGGATGATTTGGCTTCCAAAATCACAGATCACAATTGGCAGTCAATTCTTCAAAGAGTTCACTCTTCCTCAATTTGCACCAGACATGGCCTCTTACAGTTCAAGGTTCTGCACCGCCTACAGATCCCTTATGCAACAGGTGTAGAACAGTAACAGGATCCCTCATTCATACCTTCTGGACTTGTCCAAATCTTAATAATTATTGGACATTGATATTTAATACATTTTCTGTGATTTTTGGAGTCAAATTTACACCCTCCCCACTAGTTGCAATTTTCGGAGTAATTTCAAAGAATATACCTCTTCCTAGACACTACACAAATGCTGTTGCCTTTGCCTCCTTCATTGCTAGACGCCTTATACTCACTAAGTGGAAGCAGGAGGCATCTCCCACACATGCACATTGGGCTGGTAATCTCATGAGTTTTCTACATTTGGAGAAAATAAGGTGTACGCTCGGTGGCTCTACAGCTAAATTTTACAGGACATAGCAACCATTTCTGACATATATAAAAACTCAAAAATTGTGTGATGTTTCATAACTGATTCTTAGACAACTGTGACTGATGTATAAATATATATATGATTGTGTGTGTGTACTTATGTTTACATTTTGACTTGTGTTGCTCTCTGCTTAGGTATGTCTGAAATGTGTATCTGCCCATGTATACATGTATGTATACTGTCATTTTAGTTTTTATTTTATTCTTATACAAGACCCAGTATTAGTCATCACCGGGAAACATTTCATCAAGAGTAAATATTTGTCTGATCATGAAAACATTACCAGTGATGTAAAAGTCAAGGAAGATGTGGACAAAGTACTTTTTACATTTTCTGTAGAGAAATAATGTTCTACCCAAAGCTTTTCTGTGCACGTGGTGTTATCAGACATTTTCCCCAAATCAGTAACCACCCGAACACATTCTGCACTTCACAACAAGTATCATGAAAGGCATGTATCAGTGACAATGAGCTGTAAGCAGCTCAGCTGAAGTAAAGAAATTGTAACAATTCCCCTTGTAATAAAATTAACCAAAGGAAAAGTTACAACGCTAATCTAAAGGTTACGGGCGGATCAGGTGCGAGGTGTTTGAGATACGAAAAGAGATTAAATAATTTTGCTTTATCACCCAAAACAAACTCAAATTCTCACACTTGCTGTGTTAAAATATTCAGAATAAACGAAGATTAACGAATGAGTCACAATAAGTTGAATCAATAATCAAACTTTAGTGAAAGAAAATAAATCATGTCCGCGTCCGGACGGAGATAACACTTAAACAAGAAACGGCGTGGGCGCCGGTTCAACAAAAAATTCACAGGTTATCAAACCCTTTTTCCACATTATCACAAAACACACTCTTCACAAAATAACCCGAAGTACCCCCCCCCCCCCCCCCCCCCCCCC